AAGGCATGGATAAAGATTATCCCTGCCACAGAAGTTAAAATAGGAGATCCAAATTACAAACTAAACAATTTAGCAGCTTCAGTTCTCTGCAACAGCATACCACTTATTACACTACAATCTAGCCCAAGCCTCCATTCCAGCTAGTGAATTAAAAGCATTAAAAGCTGCAGTGATTGCCATTAAATCTTTACAGTTTTGCCATTTCAAGCAACAAATGTACTCTAGCATTCACAATATTCCTCCAAATTCTCACTGGGAATACTGTGCCATCGTGGTAAATATTAATTATTTGCAAATGGCAGTGGAAAGATTTCAGTGGTGACCACTATATAGGCATGGCAGTGGGTATGTCATTGCTAATGTAGAATGGGCTGAAGGAGCCAGTTTAGATAAAGTACAAACTAGTTTTGAAAGTTTAGATTTTTAAATTTTTGTTTAATATACGGCTAATGTATGTGTTCTTTACAACTTCACATGCCCTGCACATTCTGGTTTCAACATGACCTAGCACAAAACATGGAGACTCTTGTGAGATTTCAAACTCCATCTTGTAATATTTTTGTACAGATTTCTACTCCAGAGAGGATTAGACAAATTCAGGTAAACTTCACCTTGGAACCTTCTGAAGTTGCCTACAAACAAACATCTTCACTCAATAAGGTTACAGGTCTTATTTATAATTCACAAAGCCTTCATTGTTAACTTATACCATTGTGTGTCTATTACAGTATACTTATTTATTGTTAGGAGGAAGGAGATCACAAACTGTTTGGAGTATATAGTATTTAAATCCCTCAACAGAAGTGCATGAGTACCTATGAACAATTATTCACTTGATAGACCACTACCAGTCCATCAAGTGAATAGTGTACATAAGGTCTGTTTGAGTCATTGTTAGATTTTTATTAACGTGTACTATTTAGCGCTAAAGGAAATGTATTTGTCTTATCTTAGTTGCACACATTCATGTACTTTTATTTATACAGAACAGTGAATTTTTAACCTATTACAAGAGTTTCTAGTAGTTTAAAACCATTAACAATAAAGTAAAATGTGAAATGCAAGATTTTCAAATGTCTACCTGATTTTCTAATTAAAAACAACAACAACAAAAAACCCCTATGGACTGTCAAACTGAACAAAAAAACCACATAGAAGCCAGAGATTAAAAGGAGCACAAAAAAACACTTTTTTCAGTTGTAGAGAGATTTACAGGCTTCAAAGTGATCAGATTTTTCTTTAGCTGCTCCTGGACCAAGACCATGGAAGCTAAATTTCAGTTCAGAGTAAATTTTTAATGACAGAACTATAAATCTAAAAAGTAGTTGTTCACAATGGTTACAGTGAAAACCGTTTTACTGTGATGGTGCCATTTTAATCTTATAGAAAAAGATACAAAGACACAAACAGTGTGGCCACATGACACTTTTTCCTTGCTACTGGAGATAACAAGCTGGTAATTTTTAAAAGGATGGATTATCTCATTAAAAAAGTACAAAGGGGAATTATTGACATTTAGAATCCACACACAAAAAAGCAACATTTATAGTTGATAGGGCCTTAATTAAAATTTTAGAGTAATTTTTTCACTTGCTTTCTCACCCTTCCCTAAAAAAAAAACAAAAAACACTGCCTCAGGGGTCACCAATGCTGTTTCTATGAAACTGCACTTTTAAAGTTCATATTTTGTTAACCTTCCAGAGAACTGTAGTCTACTGGGATACTTCCAGATTTAAGATAATGTAATTATTGTATTTCCTTTTTAAAAAAAGGCAAGTATCTGGTGCCCTGAGTGTCAGACATATAAACATCTCTTGTCAGGGTCCTGTGATTGAAACGAATACAATATCATTGAAGCATTACAAATTACTGATCCTTAAACATAGCAAAGTAATTTTTTTTTTAAACCAAGCTAACTGGAATGGGTATATTTAAGTGAAATGGACTCAACTCCAGTCAGTTAAATCTGTATCCATCACAACTACCGTGGTAATTTGGGCATCAAATTCAATGGACTATGTTATGCAATGTGGCTTTTTACACAAATAAACTTGCTTTCAGGCATATCCAATGTCAAGTATGTAAATAAATGATGATACACCATACACATCATCTAGTCCTGTGTATTTCTCTGCTCTTAATTTTTAACATGGTAACTGCAAACTTTGTCTTATGACTAAGTACATTACTTAAAAGTTTTACACTCTTGTTATTATCAGGATTCTCTAATAGTCAAGGATCAATCTGCTAGTTCAGTTTATTGGGGGATTATGAAGACACTACATCCTTCCCTATTTCACTTACTAATTATATGCAGAATATTCTTCCCAGCATAGCTCAAAACTTAACAGTTCTGCATTACAGGTTTGTTGGAGATGGCCTCCATAGGTCATGACTTAAGTAGTTTCCTTCACACAAGGAGTAATTTCAGGGGCTTGCCAGCATGGTGGGCATTTTGGCTGTCATACTTATCTCTGGATTAGTCAGCTTCTTTCTTTAGATCCCCAACATGAGTCATAGAAACCATTACCTGAAACAGTATTTCTGAGAAAGTTGTCCAAAGGGACTATACTGATTAGCTAATTCAGTGATGCCATTCCTGGTGATACCTCCTTCAGCTAACTGAAATTCATTTCTAGGAATTCTAACACCAAGACCCCATTGGCTCAAATGAGCCTCCTTCAAATTTCTTGTTACCCAGGGGCACTAAATATTGCACTACATACTGAAGTGGTTTACCATCATGAACATGTATTATCCGTATATGTTTTCTAGCTTCCTTCACCCATCACTGTTTTTTTGGTTCAGTGGCTGAATCAAAAAATATGTTTCGATTGGAATGAAAACTGAAAACAAACAAACAAACAAAAAAACAGTTTCTCACCAAAACAAAAAAGCAAACAATTTTGCTTGGGATGATTTTAAACAACACTTCCAAAACAAAACGGTGATTTGAAATGACATTTTGTTTAGAAAATATCATTTTGAAACAAAATCTTGAAACACTAAATTTTGAAAATGCTGGGAAAAAATCTGTTTTTTTTTCCATCTGAAACAATTTGCCAAATTGAATCAGAATTCGCAAAACATTTTGGTGCCCCGAAAAAATGAATTTTTCAGTGAATTTACAATTTGCTGTAAAAATTTTGCCCAGCTCTGTGTACAACAATATTGCTCCCCACAGAGGAAGAGACAAAGAGGTACCACCAGCAATCTCCTTTTCATCTCAACAGCCAGATAGGTGAGCAGGAGAAAAAAAATCGCAACCTGGTATCAGTGGATCACAAAATAAACATAGTGCACTATCTTGATGTGCTGCAGTACATTGGTTGTGATAGTCTCTCAGTGTGTAATTATTCTGATCATAGCCACACATCATCCAATATTGATGAATTCTAAAAATGCATATATTGAAATGTGATTATTCTGCAGCTTTCTGGTACTTCCAATTGTTGACAAAGACAGAGTCCTCTTGCTCTTTGAGTTTAAATGCTACTGATCTATACGGGGAGCGAGCTTGCCCTCAGAACACAGAAGGCTAGATTCACAAAGGGATTTAGCTACCCAACTGTCACTTTAGTCGCCTAAATCCCAGAATCAGGCACCACTGATATTCAGAAAACCTCTGCTTTGCTGCCACTGAACACTAGAGGCACCTAAACTCACTCAGTGCCAATGTTTTTCTAGGAAAAGTTCTAAGCCTGTTTACCAGGTTGGGCCCCAGAGGGGCGCTCACCCAAAATGGCCGGGGAGAAGGGAGGCAGAAGAATCTGCCTCATAATTTTTAGTCCACTGGTTAGGGTAGTCACCTGGATGTGGGAGACCCCTGGATTAAGTCCCCCCTTTGTCTCAGGGTGAGAAAAGATTTGAACAGGAATCTGCCACCCCTCAAGGGAGTGTCCTAACCACCGGGCTAAGGGATATTCTGATGTGGGGCTCCCTCAGTCTCTTCTTTTGAAGCTGTTCCACTTTGGATGAATAATTAAAGAGTCTTTGGGGCAGAGAGGGATTGGGGGAGAGAGAGAGTGCAAGCATAAGAAGGACTCTGTAGACTGGTGGTTAGAGCACTCACCCAGGACGTGGGAGACCCAGGAACACCCTCTCCCAGGCTTCCTTCAAGAAACACCTTAGGAGGCCTGATTTTAGTAGAGTGTTCACAACTGAGAATCCCAAGCAGAGATAGGTGCCTCCCTCCAGCCCGGACTCAGGCACCAAATTCTCTGACACACCCCTCTCCTTGGCATCTCTCATTGGCTAGCTTAGGCTGCTCTTCACTCAGTGTGCTGGCTTTTCTGAATTCCATTCTTAGGCACCTATCTCCCTCCATTCATTGTACCTCAGCCTTTGTGAGTCCCAGCAATTTTCTACGTGCCTAAAAGTAAGGTATTGTGATGCTGCGTGTCATAATGCTTAGAGCCCCTTTGTGTATCTAGCCCAGAGTCTATGGAGAGGTATTAAGATTTTTAAGTACATTTGGAAATTTCTCATCTGTCAACTTTCTGTCTCAAATTGAATATAAATACAGGTCAGAAGTTTCTGTATGAGTCTGTTTGCTAAGTACAGATGTTTCCCAAGGTGTGCCATTACATACAGTGGAATTCACTCCATCAAGTTCATTTTGATTTCTCTTGGTCTTTTAATAGTAACAGTCAAGAAGTACCTATCTTTTGGTTTAAATGATGAGGGTGGGGAATCAAACAGTGTTCATCTTATTACTTCACCAAATTCAAATTTGCATTCTGTCTCCCAGCTCCTCCACCTATGTACATTTGTGAATGGAAGGAAAACTGGTGATTATCACAACAAGGCTATCAGGAAGTGAAATTTGCATGTAGTTCTTAATCTTCAATGAAAAGGAACATTTTATCGGTATTAAGAGAAAAAATAAATCAGAGGAACAAATATGAGCTTCAGCTGTAATAATTAAAAGGAAGAAGTCAGGAGCTGGGGCTTGGCTAATTTAGAGGACCGATAATGGACTTTTGAAGAAAATACTGTACCTAATGGGACTGGATCTGGATTCACTGGACTCTGCTGTCTGGAATGGCTGCTGCTGCTACCACCTTTTTTTAAATCCTCTGCATCACTGTACCGCCGTATCCAATAATTAAGCTCTTCACGGTCCGCTTCTTGACATCGCCGTAGTACAGTGAGAGATCGCCTGGTTTTTTCCACCATGTCCATGATGCAGTTTAACAGCTATTAGTAGGGGCAGAGGGAAGGAAGGAGCCAAAAGAACATTTGATTATGATGTGCCATATTTCCACAGAAAACTTGGTGAATTTAAGTCATTTTCTTACTTCAGTTGCCAGGGTTTTAAGGGAGAAGGATTATCTCCCTGTTCTTTTAAATAAAAATAAGATATACTACCGGTACTTCCTTTTGAACACAATAATTCCCTCTTGCTTAACTGTATTTCCTAGATATACATACAAATCTTTCAATAGTTATAAGATCTAATTAACAGCAAAAACAAACAAAAATTCAATTTTCAGGGCACTGATAAAGTGAGGGAGTGGGAAGCGTCCTGGAGCCAGTGGTCAATCCTCATCACCCAGTTTCCCATTCGCTGCTCATATCAGCAGTTTGGATTCTAAAACACAGAGTGCCAAAAGAAGCATCCAAATGGGGAACTAAGCACTATAATTTAGCCACCAATGTTTTCAAACTTGTTCTACAATATGGAAAATTAAAGAAAAATTAATAAACTAAAATATATAATGCAAGTTACAATATTGTAACAGTCATGCTGGGTCCATCCAGACACATATACAAACACACTAATTAATTTTTTACATGGTCAAGGTGTTTCCATTCTTCTGCCCATTCTCTGTCTGTTAGCCTGTGATCAATCATTTCTTCTTGTCGTGTGCCATGCAACCCTGCCAAAAGTGGAAAAGATATTTACATCAAAGGATTCATCTAGAAAAGCTCTCTTATTCTTTCATTATCTATCTATCGAGTCTTGGTATTTACAATGCTCATCCATAACATAAACCCGCACAATTTTTGTGTGAAGGTTTATGTATATAGACGCATGCTACATATACACATGTACCATTTAAAGTTTATCAGTCTTTTCAGTGATATTAAAGCAGAAATCTAAACAAAGGACTAGGAATCTTTAATGGTTATAGTATGCCCACTACCGGGGATAAACAAACATTTCCCTTCCATAATGAAAAACAACCAGTAAAGGCAGATACAGAACAAGAGACTTGTATAAAATATTTCACTGCATCAAATTCTGATGCTGCAAAGGTGGTACAAACACCTGTTGGCGATAATTCTCTGCACAGACCACTTCTAGGATTGGGCACCAAAAAAATCATGGGTACCTCAATAATGTTACAATAAATGTAGAATTACTAATATCTTCTGGTGCAAAGGCAGCCCTGTAGAGATTGTTTCGTCATATGCATAATATCAAACAAGGTTACAATGCGAAAATCATTAGTACCTTTTGTTCTACTCTTTGTTTAAATTACTTTATTTTCACACATTTTAAAACATATAATTGCTGTTGATTTTTCTTCTTTTTTATGTAGGCTTGGGTTTGGATCACTGTATTAAAATTTAAAAATTAGTCTCAACATGAAAGACATAGGGAAGTATGGGAGTTTTATGTCAGATAGTGAGCAACTGATCTAAATTCTAAAATTAAGAAATTCTCATGCTGGTAAACTAGATTAAAATCAAAATCTTAAACTGCAAAATGTATTAACAGAATAAATCTTTGTTGATACTAGGCTTAATATTATTGAGAAGCAGCAGGAAATTAACTGATGCTTAGAAGACTTGGTCCAAGTTCTCAATAGGTTTGAGTATTACCAGATTGTTTAAGTTAAAAAAACCCTCTGATCTTTGGATTAGTAGAAAAGAAAAAACTCAAGAATTGACGTAACAATTGTATAATTTACTATAGGAAATTCCCAAGCCACTTATACTGCAAAAAAAAAAGTTAAAGGGTTAAATATTGCCTTTTTATATCAGACTTCCTTAACACAGAGGACTGAAAAAATATAAATAGTATGCACAGACCAATGTAATATCACTAAATGCAATGATTACTATAATGTCAATACCGATTCATTAAAGGTTCATCTCTTCACACATACTTAAATAACCATAGAAAATTCTAAGTAAAGATTTACTGTGCATAAAGAGCAAGTTACAAGTATGCAGTGAGTTGACAATAAATGCTACCTTATCTGGTCTTAATAGGCCCCAATGTATTGCCCACAGTTCGAATTCATACATTTTAGCCAAAGGGACAACTTAGACTAACTTGAGAGATCTTTCACTCGAAGTTTTAAGCCTCAGCCCCTCACCCTTAAGGTCTCTGTAAATGCTGCTTCTTTATTCTTTTAAACAAATCCTGAATAAAAAGCACTTCTGTAAACGTTTTGCTTTAGAGTCGGGCATGCAAATTAAAGCACAACAAAATCATCGTGACCTGAAGAGTGTTTTAGGCATAGCCCTGAGCAGGGCGTGGTGTGAGAGCTACACCACAGGTAGGTATGGTCCCACGGGGCATTGTGCCTCAGAGACATCATTCTGGAGGCAATTCCTTCTATTACTCCCTTACTCATGTGATAATAATTTATCTCTGGCCTATATCAGCAGTAAATTAAGACACCCCATCTAGCTATGTTGGTTGTCATATGTGTGGGATACAGGGAAAGACAAAACTCCATTCCCCTGCCCATCTGTTCCAGAGTCCATGTTGTCCACACAGGTGTGAAAGACGTGCTTCTTAGTCATCCTTACTCTCCTGTGTGAGTGTGTAATTAAAGACACAATCTAGTCCAATATTAGTAAAGCTATTATAAACATTAACTACCTTAGGATCATAGATCTATCAGCAGAGGGCAGTGTGAGATAGAGGGCAATACAGTTCTCAACCAGAATGAAGTACAAAGTTTAATTATAAGAAAGAAAGAAAGAAAGAATGAAAGAAAGAAAATCCAGGAAGCACAAAGTTTCTCATTGTCCCTTACCCATAGGTCTGTTTCTGTCCCTGAGGTCCCTGTGGTTGGGGTGTCTGTATGAGTCCCTGTAGTGGTGGGCAATGGCCATATCATCCAAACGATAATGCTGAGGTGGAGGTGGGGTGGGGTGAGGCAGACCATTGGGCTGGTAAGATAAGCCATTATTTGGACTGTACCGCTGGCCTGGGCTAATAGTGCAGGGCCGCTTGCTTGGATGCTCTGAGTGCAAAGGCTCTCTGTCAAAGCCGTTTTCTTTGGTTCTGAAAAATAAAGTACAGGAACTTTCCGTCACAATTTGAACAGGGCTGGCTATTGCTCAGATACGCACAGTTAAGAACTGCCATTTGTGCTCCATGACGTTGGAGGTGTGGGTGGGGGAACATTTCATAAAGCAATTTAATCAATCAAAATTTATAAGGATACATGTGCTCACTATAAACGTCTCTGTCATAGCCTAAGAAACACGGGTAGAATAATACTGCCTATAGAACATAAAAATACTCCTTATAAACATAAAAATTAAAGCAATATTCACTGAGATTAAGCTTTGAACATGTGGGTACAGTACAGACTACAATGTATTCATGTGTTAAGCAAGTGGCCAAGCAATTTTCATGTTTAATAAAAGCAAAAGAAATCACCATTCTTAGTCAAGTCCAGTTTGATGGAAAAAAGACCGTACACTGGTAGAGATGTCCTGCCTTTGTCGTTGCATGCAGAGATCTGGGGAAATCTGCAGCTTAAGAAATGTTTTCCTCCAAAGGGCAGCACATGGCCCTTAGGCTATATGTTTTAGCATGCTGAACCTTTGCTCTCAGTAATGCCAGGCTGATTCCCCATCAGGGAATTAAACAATATGATCACAGCAGGTTTCAAAGACACATTTGGAGTGTGAGGAAAGAATCATTCTTGGTGATGAGAGATGTTTTCCTCGAGAGAGGAAAGAAAAGGAGAGGTTACTTACCTTGTGCAGTAACTGTAATTCTGTGAGATGTGTGGCTCTATCGGTGTTACTGTTCAGATCCGCATTTGCCCCATGTATCTTCAATTGGAGATTTTAGGTAACTGTGCCCATTTGGCCAGTGCATGTGCTCTAGTCCACCTCATGCACTGCACTTGGCTATATAGAGCTGCATAGGTGAACCACCCTCAGTTTCTTCTCTGCTGCAAAGCTCCATACCCAAGAACTCTGAAGCAGCAGGGAAGGAGGGTGGCTAGTGGAGCACCCACAGGGACACACATCTCGAGAACTACAGTTACTGCACAAGGCAAGTAACCTCTCCTTTTTCTTTGAGTATTGCCCTTATAGGTACTCCACTTCAGGTGACTACTAAGCAATACCCTCCAAGAAGGCAGAGGCTTCGGAGTCAAGTCCAAAACTGAAGATAGTACAGTAGTACCAAGCACAGCATCAGAAGCTGACTCATGAATTACTGCATAATGTTCAGAAAAGATGAGTATGGAGGTCAAAGTTCCAGGTCTACATATTTCAGCAATGGGAACATTCTTAAGAAAGACTACTGAAGTAGAAAAAGATCACATTGAATGGGCCAGTACTCTAGAAGGAGGCTGGAGATCAGGCTACTGATAAAAGGTAATGCAGCCAGATATACATCTATCACAATAGGGGTGCATCTGTTATTACTACTGTTGGAGATGGTTGAGCGAAGAGGATTCCTGTGCAAATGCTGCCTAGAATTAGTCCCTCTGCTCTGGTGGTAGATGCTCAATAAACCAACTGAACTTTTAGTCATTGGTGTGATTATATGTTGCATCAACACCTGATAGTTGATGATTATAAACTGCAGAGTCACTTCCTTGTCATCTTGGCCCCCTGATGGTACCAAAGATCTTCTTGAGCTGGAACCCTTAGATTCTTTGGGTTCACTGGTGCTCACAGTACCTGAAGAACCTGCAGCCTCGTGGATACCGAGTCAGGAATTGGTGGGCACTTAAATAGTTGTCTCAATCAGCCACCAGGGTTTCTTTGAGGTAGAGTCCCTACCTGGGGAACTCGAGCTCTATTTCCTAGAGTCTTTTTGAGGGGATTCTTGAGTTTTCTTTTTAGTAGCTCTAGAGAAGTGTTGCGCTGAAGTGGTTGAGATGGTCAACTTGCTCGGAGACTGATGTATGGGGCTGGAGAGGACCTGGGCCGGGTCAGAAGGTGGATGGAGGGAGCCCTCCATCATGAGGAAGCACAATTTAACCTCCTGGTTCTTTCTGGCTCTTGATTTTAAGGCCAGGCAAAAAATTCATTTTGGGGGGAATGTGAGACTCCTCGAGCAATGGACAGACTGGGAGTGTCAATTGTTCACCAGGAGAGCCTTCTGGCACAAAAGGCAACATTTAAAACTAGGAGAGCCAGCATACCCTCCCCACAAGCTAAAGTTCTCTGCAGGGAAATACTAAATGGATGATGGTCCTTACAACATTTTTTTTAAAACTACAGCTAACTACTACTGCTATAACTAACTAAACTAAGTGAAACTATGAAAGAAACTGCAGTTGAGGTAAGATCAACTCAGACACTGCTGAGGCTCTGTCTCATGCCAAGGCACTTGAGAAAGAACTGAGGGCGGTTTACCCATGCAGCACTATATAGCCATGGTGCAGTACACAAGGCAGAGTAGAGCACATGAGCAGGCCAGACAGGCACTGCTACCTAAACTCTCTGATCAAACATGCATGGGGTATACACGCATCTGAAGTACAGTGCCCATAGGGACACTACTCAAAGAAGAAGCTATATTTTTGTGCCCTCACAACAGCTTTGATCAAAAATCCTGCGCATGCTGTTGATCTAAAGAGAACATTGGTTAGGTCACAGTCTTAGGGCAGCCTTCGACTGTTCCCACTCCATTCCTCGTAACAGATGGCGCTTTCATAGTGAGGTCATTTAGAAGAGTTAGTGTTGGGCCAGAAAATTAGCCATAAAGAAACAAAATGAATTTGAGTCTATAATCAAATATTTCAAAATAAAGTGCACACAGTCCACCCGCAACCACACCATCAGCTAATATATATGAACCTAACAGTGAATGCCTGTTTACATCCTCAGGAAAAACCAGAGGTAAGTCACTTCCATTCTGCCCAGAGACCATACTACAAATGAAGAATGACTTTCTAGCTCTATTACAGCCCAAGCTTATCCGAATAACAACTGTCTCAACTCCTCTTGTACTGGAGCTCCACTTCACTCCAGTTCTCAAACTGTGGGGCGCGTGCACCAGGGGAGGTGCCATTTACACTTTTTCCCCCCTGGTGGCTGAGGGTTTCTGGCTGAGCTATAGCTGATGCTGTAACTGATGCTAGATGTCACTGTTGGTCGCCTCAGCTGCTAGGACCGAAATACAGTTTTGGCTGCCTGTAACAAAGGCTGCTGCAGGGTTTGATGGCTCCTGCACCCTGCCTAGGCAGAGCAGGAATCTAGCAGGGAGCTGGCTCAGTGGCAGCAGCTGCCTGCGCCTTTTAGTCTCCTGAACTGGGGAAGGGGAGACACAGAGAGGTGAGATAAGTGTGGGGGTGAAGGACAGGGACCCAGGAGAACGTGCACCCTTTCTCTCCAGACAGCTATATTCTCTCCCATGCACTGCTTTATGGGGCAGGACTAGGGCAGGGTCTCAGGCAGGCAAGAACAGCCTGCTGGAGAGGAAGCTGGGCAGGAGACAAGGACGGCATCCAGGGGCAGGATTGAGAGCAGCGCAGCAGATTGAGCCCATTGCAGCGAAGAGGTGGGGCAGGTATTAGGGCCCACTGGAGGAGGGATAAGGGGAATCTCTATTTCACGTGCTGTGGCAGTTAGCAACAGGAAATGAAGAAATGGGTTTTGCTAAAGCTTGTTGCTGGGAATAAAGATAGGCTTTCCAGAGACTCCATACACAAGCACCAGTGCCCACTGCAATTGCAGGGGTGAACGGAGGCCCCCATCATCCCTCTCATAGCGAAAGGGAGAGGATCTTTGCCAGGCACTTTAGGGCATCTGTTACAATGAGTATTTTTGAGCAAGGAAGTAAACGGTTACAATTACTGTACACTATGTTCTAGAAAGACAACTGATAAGAAGTGGGATGGGACTGAGATGTGACCCCCATGAGTGCCAAGGTAACTATACATTTAATTGCTGTCAATGTAATTCATGCTGTTAAACTCCAATGGATAGCAACCCTTTTTGACTGTTCTCCAAGAATGCACCTACATATTTTACATTGGGCTGCATGCAGAACCTGAGACCCGCAACTACTCAAATCCAACTATGAAATTTTAATCTGCAAGTACACATTTGCGTGAAAGTATGCAGATTTTTGTATGCACAAATCAAACTCTGGATGCATTTTTGAAGGCACACTCAAAATTTGTTCTTGAATATCAAGGTTAGAATGATAACCTCTAACAAAGATTAAAAAGTCAAATACTGTAGAGGTCCTGTTTTTTTTCTACAGCTGCTCGTATGTATGTCTCAGTGTACAGAATCCTCCCCCCCTCCCGCCACCCAAGATCTGAGGGCAAGGACGAGAGAGGCCAGTTTCAGAGAATGAGGTTTTTGTAACTGTAGATGTTCATGCTGAAGGATTTTTTACATTTGGACTACTTTTTTATTGAGATTAAGGGCTGTCCAGTTACAACTGGGATTGACTGTTACTTCTCATCAAGAATTGCTGAAGGCACACAATCAAATATACAGTAAGAATCTTTAGTTTCAAATGACTGTGCATTCCAGAGCAGGAAATCAAACAGCAAACGACTGCACTGGCTGGCAAATTAACTTTACCGTTTGATACAAAATATTAAATGCAATTTATGAGAATAACATTATTGAGGCCAGTGAATAGGAGTTGGGATGGAGAATGTTTGTCCTTCATTTCTGCAAGATGCTTTGGTTTAAACTAATATTTATATGTAAAAGATTGATGACTGAATGAGTGATAATCTACTGGAAAAAAATCTCTTTTGTGTCTATATCTATCAAATTATTTTGCAGATAAGATAATGTTGTATGCACAGCACAGATCAACATATAAACATCATGTGTATATTTACTTGTCACACAGAACCATCATACTAAGGAAGTGCTTCATGTCACAACTCAGGCGATTAACTTAACTGAAGAACCTGTAAGATTTTGCTCAAAGAAGATTCCTAAACTTTTCACATTGGTTGCAAGGTTCGTGGTCCAATGAGGTGCTGAGCATCCTCCACTCCCATGAACTGAGATGGCAGAAATAGGCCCTCAATACCTGGCAGTGCCCAACCTAGACTCTGT